AGTAAACATCATCTTTGATTGAAAGATGTAAACCACAATTTTTAATTTTGGCAATGTTGCCTATTTTCAAGTGAAAACCTAAAGCCTTTCAGAAAAGGACAGTGGTGGGATGGTTATTCAGAGTCATAGACATTGTTTTGATACCCTTATATTTGAGCAGTAAAAGGGCTTAAGTTATGGAACGTTTTCCAGGGAGAACACTTTTCTTTGATACGCCTCTTTGTCAAAGAAAAAAACCTTCCAAGACAAGCCTTCAGGTAATCCATGCATGCCTTACTTAGCCAGCTGCTATCTTCAGAGCTGTCTGCTTTTTCTTGTCTATCACCCCAGGGAACTTACAATACTGAATGGTCATCTCTGTGAGTGCTGGGAAGTCAATACAGAGGAAACAGTCGTTGTATTGTACAAGGCGAGACATGCCAGTAGTACGTTTTTACTGAGTGAAATGCTAATAAGTACATGACCAAATTGCTCCAGGGCTGTTGAAGTTACTGGGATTTTTGTCATTGACCTGCCAGAGGTCAGAACTTGTAACTGTCATACAGAACAAGCCATAAATTCTGTGGACTTCTTTACAGACTGTTTTCCCATAAAATGTGGCAGAAGAATATTTCATTTTGTAACAAACATATGAGCCTTATTCATACCTTGTCATCTAGGAAAAATTGTGCTAATCTTTAACTCCAAAGCAGCTTTCTCCCATATAATGGGATCATTTACAAAAATTTATAACTCACAGTGTGCCTGATTTTCCCTGTCTTCATTCAAAAAGAGTGTAAATGGTATGATCACACTTATGGCTGGTGGTTATTATGCCTTGATGCTGGTGCATCTCTGCTTCCTAACAGCTGCCGTGGTGGCGTTTTTTCTCTAGTTTCCATTTATGCTCTTTTGCTTCATTAAGTAATCTTCATGCTAAACAGCAACTCAAAATTACACTACATCATGTTTATATATTATTAAATACTTAGAGGATATTTTATTTTTTTTTCTTTTCCAGCTGTCACATGCACTTAGGTGTTTCCAGTGGATTTTTTTGTCTTTCCTGTAGTCTTATTTGCCAGTCTAACAAAGCTGGGTGCTGATTTAAACCCGCTTTTAGTACTACAAGTGGGATGACCATCATTTTGCTGTGAGTTCTGCAACACAATTGTTGCCATGCTGTGCTTGTTTCCCAACTGCTCTGAAACAAATACGGGAATACAAGTGTTGTTGTTTCCTAAAATTAAGTGTAAATCAATAACAGAAATCTGAAAAGACAGTGTCGGATTAACTGATGTCCCTTATCACTGGAACAAATGAACCATTTTTCAAGGACCGTGCTTTGTTGTTGTGTTTTCCTTGTAAAGTGATCATTTTTCTCAGTGGAATGAAAAACAAAACCAGTAAATGAACTGTTGGACAAGTAATACTCTATTTTAAATAGTCCCAAATTACTGAAGGCTTTTAGCGTAACTGTTCCCTCCATTGTACTTCCAGGTATGTCGCTGCTTTAGCTGGGTAAGAGGGATTGCCATCAATGAGTTGGTAGATTAGTCATGAGATGTTGGAGTCTAGTTTAACATCTGGTAAGAATGAGAGAGTTGGGCTTTTTCAAGCTTGAGAAGAGACAACTGAGAGGAGACCTCATTAATGTCTATAAGTATGTGAAGGGAAGGTATCAAGAGGATGGAGCCAGGCTCTTCTCGGTGGTGCTGAGCAATAGGACAAGAGGCAACAGGCAGAAACTGGTGCACAGGGAGTTCCACCTGAACATGAGGAAGAACTTCTTTACTGTGTGGATGCACTGGAACAGACTGTCCAGAGAGGTTGTGGATTCTTCCTCAATGAAGATATTCAGGAACCATGGATGCAATCCTGTGCAATGTGCTCAAGGGTGGTCTTCTTGAGGAGGGAGATTGGACCAGATGACCCACTATGGTCCCTTCCAACCCTATCCATTCCGTGATTCTGTGATTTCATGTTACCAAGTTTTTGCCTTAGAGATAAAAAATACTTATATTTTTAGTTTTCTTAACAGAGATAAAAATAGGTTGTTTATAGAGAAAACAGAAATAAAAGAAATTAAAAATTAAAAATAGAAGTATTGGCAAGATCATGCCTGATTGTGTGTTCAATGAAAATCATAAGCTATAGAAAGCAAGTTTACCCATGTAGTATTTATTGTTACGTTTCGTTTAAAAATTCATTTGAAGACCTAAGCATGATAAGATAAAGAGAGGTGACCTCTTCTGTGACCACGTCATAGGAAGATAAAGGATAAAAGTCTGTTTTGATGATGACAGCAGGTCACACAAACAAGTTTTAATTTTCTGGTACATACCAAGAGAAGTGGCACAATATCGAAATGTAGCAAATGAAATTACTTTCTGAAAAAAATTACATACTAAGTTTAAAATACTTATTTAACTGGTACATTCACTATGAGCACAACTGAAGGAAACAGCTGAACCTACACTTGTTTTTTTGAAATCTTTCTGTTTTGTAGTGCTGTTCCCTTGAATTAGTCAAGGGGGCAATGTACGGGCTTGCCTCACTTTGCTCGTGGCTGTTATTCCTGCACTGTACATGTCAAATGATGACAAAGCATCTTCACTGTAGCATGTTTTCCAGTATGTATTTCTTTCTGTGTAACTACGAATGCCAATATAGCTGTACAAAAATGGGTGTAGTAAAACCAATCTTTTTTTAAGACTGCAACTTTCAAACTTGATGGTGAATAGTTTTATAAGTAATCCTATCTTCTAGTGGACTAAATAGGGAAAAAGCTTTCTCAAGGATATATGGTACTTCAAGTAGTTGTGACCCATTACTTTTCTGTTCCCCAGTGAAGTCAGTTTCTCTCCCTAGGGTATCCTGTTTTCGTGCCTCTCCAGCACATTCTCAGAACTGAACAGCTTTCTTACAGAACAACAATATGATGTAATGTATTGTGGGTGGTTTGTTTACTCAGTTTTATATTAAAAACACATGCAAAAATTTATGTGAGAAAACACAGCGGAAGACTGCTGTGATACTAGCAGTTTATGAAGTTTTTGAACTTAGGGATTCTGTTCTTTCGAGTGATAGGTGAGATTTCTTCTAGATATCCACACTGTTCCCAAGCTCACTCTTCTCCTCACTTCACTGCCCGAAATACTTCCTTACCCTTGTCTTACTGCTCCTCCTCATTTCACCTTCTCTAAAAATGGGCAGAAGTGCAACTTTGGAGACTCAACCAAAGAGGCTGAGTACCATAACATGGTATCTATGCAGTGCTTACTATACTTACATTAGCTTTCACTGGCAATTCAGCAGCACACTGAAATATGTATTGTCTTCCCTAAGTCTTGCTCCTTGGGCATGTGATATAAAGAAGATTTATATTTTGAAGCATTCTTTCTGTTGTATCTGTAACACTGGAGCATCATCAGTCCCTTTTAGCATGCAGTATACTTTTCTTGGCCTGCTTCTCTCCCACTATGTTCAGAGGATCTGTGAATCACGATTCACATTGAGGCTCATGACCTATTAATACATCATTTGGTGGTAGACCCAGACACCACATGTAGCCTAATTATTTACATTTAATATTTTTCAAACTGAAGATTTTTTTTCACTGTATAAAAATGATGATTGCCAATTTGGTGACAAGATTGGTTATTTCCACTTTGATTTCTAGTAGCTGAATGAGTTTAAGGTATTATAACATTTACAGTTACTTCATCATACAAATATTTTATATTAATTTTTTTAATTGCTGAATATATTTCTCATGTAAAAGTAAATACCTCTGCTATGTTAGAACTTATTTCACTCAAAAGAGAAGAGTTTTGGGAAAGTGTAAAACACGATTCTTGGCAAATTCTATAAAGGACTTCTTAAAACTTATGTGAATCATTCACAGCCACCTGTAGTTTATATTTGGGTTTATATCCAGAAAAATGTGAAAGAATTCTTTGCTGAATTGTAGGCTTATGTAAGCTGTTAATGAAATGGATCTGTTACTTGCTGCTATTATGCATCTCTTGTAAGGATTTTTTTGTAACAACCCATGGCAACCATAAAACTGTGGAATGAGATCTAGGCATAGGAGTAACACCTGCAGTAAGTTCTCTTAGTCACATTGAAGATGGTCTGAAGTATAGCTTTTTTATGCCTGACATGACCATAAAATATTTTATTTTGAAAAAAAGTTTTGTGCTTCTCCAAAGGAGTGAGATCTTCCTCCACAAAAAATCCCTACATATTTTACTCCAATTAAACCTTTGTAACTGAGCAGTCTGAGCAAATGTGGGAAGAAAATTAATTGCTCTGTATGTTAATTTTTGTTCTTTTAGATAGAAAGAACAAGTGCACACTAGACGCAAATGTTACTGTGCTGATTGTACCCAAAATCTTACATTTCATGTTTCCTGTGATGATTTGCCTTGGAAGCACAAACTTTCCTTAAAATAGATATTATTTCTTCAGGTCAGGAAGAACCTTGGCATTTCAGTCCTCCAACTGATGTCAGAGTTGACTACATGGTATATTGAAAATAATGTGTTTCTGAACAGACAGCAGCTGGCTTTTTAAATAGGATGTCCTTCACAGTCTAAGCAGTCTAATTTTAAAGCCACGGGACTGCATACTCTCCACACTGCAACAGAATTTCTGAGTTTCAGGTCTGCGAAGAAAGGGAGAGCTGCAGGTGAAACCTGCAATATGGTAGTGATGGCTTATTTTCTAGGTGACACTTCAGAATTCTTAAAGGAAGTATCTGGGGACAGCAGACCAGACATGTTGTGGCTACTACAGAATATTGATGCCTCAGAACAGAACTTGAACTATTTCAGCATTTTCATACAGAAAGATTAGGTCCTTTAATTTATGCTTATATACACGTGGTCACAGGAAGAATTTCTCTGCTTCTTAAACAAATTTGTTGTAGTGTGCTCACATTGACACCTAGAATCAGGTATATCATGCCAGCTAAAATAGCAACCACAGCACAATATCTTCTTTCCTTACATGTTTAGGAAAATATCTCCAACTTTGATATCGTCATGGAGTCTGATGAGGGCACCTTCAAGCCATCTGGACTGGGTTTTACTGGCAGTGCTAAAGCTCGGGAAATCGTGAAAGAGATCATGACTCTGCTGCTGCCCATCAATGCTACAGATGTTTACGACAATGCAGATGGAACAGACATCGATTACTGGATGAGAGACGGGGTGCCCGGTGAGTGTGGTTTACAGGTGACACTGCTCCCCCCAAGCAGTGCCATGTCAGATGGGTGGTCTGGTGTTTTAAAAATAGTAAGAAATGCTTTCTCCAGGGAGTACAATCTTCTGTAAGTAAAATGCATAAATGTTAAAAGGTGACCAACAGAAGTAGGACATAGTGTGCATTTGAACTGCAGTTTAATAATGGTTTAAATTATACGTAGAATAAAATGCCTAAAATCTTCTTTTCGGCTTTAAGGATTTATAATAATTAATCCCAGACTGGTGGTTTATAAATAGTAAACCAAGGCAGAGGGGAATTCTCCAATGCAGAAGAAATATTTTTTTAATTATTATTATTATTTTCACTCTGAAATATGGGGCTTTTTCTCTCTGTTTTATATGCTGGAGAAACAAAGTTTTTGAGACATGACATTTAAAAGGTTATGGGTTATTAAGGTCTGATAAAGGGATAAAATTCATAAAAGTTTGAAGTGGTTTAGGGGTTTATTTGGAGGACCCAAAGAGGTTTATTTATCTGACCCGAGTGAGGAGCAGCCTTTTGGCAAAGAACCTTGTAAGCTGTGAGAGAGATCCACCACTGGCAGCACCCCCGTGCATGAGACCCCACACTAGCACAGAGGCTTTCAAAACACAAGAATTCCAACTGGAGGCCAGCCTGGGTGAAACCTTAGTGAATTTACATTTGAATAATGGTAGAAAGGTTTCATAACCATGATATTAAAAAAATTATGGTCAGTTTTAAAATTTTAAGGTTCTTTTTCTCCTGTGTTTTATGACTGAAGTAAGCTGGCACATTTCTCATGGTAGTTTTACAACTTGCTACTATATGATTAGAATGTCTTAATGTTTTATTAACTGCCTTGTTTTCTACCTTGTGGAAGAAACAGTGAATCATAGAATATATTATTTTTATTTACAACCAGAACCCTTTTCTTCTCACTCAGGGTGTACAGTGATACCATAAAGTTGACTGCCTTGAAAAACATATGGATTCCTAATTTTCAAACCAAAATATCTGTGCTGGGCAAGAAGTATGGATGAATGGATATTGTTAAACAGCTAGGGATTCATCTTCAGCTGGTGCACTGCTTTCTAGGCGAGGTGGAAGCTGCTAAGTGCAATGTCATTCAGCTGTGACAATGGTGTGCTGAGTTGTTTTTAGAGACCTTAAGCACTGCTGAGAGGCTGTAGCCATGCATTATCCTCCACACCCTAGAAAAGCCTTTGCTGGTCCAGAATTTCAGACCTAAGGGTCCTAAGGGAGCTGACTCAGAAAGATGCCCTCCTTGATTTGCTGCTTGTCAACAGAGACAATTTTGTGAGTGACGTGGAGATTGGTGGCTGTCTTGGCCACAGCAACCATGAAGTGATTGTGTTTGAAATCTCTGTTGACAGGAGAAGTTGGCACTTCAACCCTGGACATGAGGAGAGCAGAATTCAGGTTGCTCAGGGAATTAGTAAGTAAGGTCCCCTGGAAAAATGCTTTTGAAGGTGCTGGGGTCTATCAGTGCAGGTCACTTTTAAAACATCACCTGCTAAGGGCACAGGGGCAGATAATGCCCAAATGTCGTAAGTCAAGCAGGCAAGGCAGAAGGCCAGCAAGGCAGAAGGCCAGCTTGGCTGAGCAGGGATCTTCTCTTGGAAATAAGGCAAAAAAGGAAGGTGTATGTCCAGTGGAAGCAAGGTCAAGTGACATGGGAAGAATTCAGAGATGCTACTTGCCACTGTATGGAGAAAATACATGCAGCTAAAACTCAGCTGGAGTTGAAGATGCCAGAAATATGGGAGACAATAAAAAGAGCTTTTTCAAATATATTAATGGCAACAAGAAGTATAGAAATATCATCAGCCCATTACAGAATGAAGATGGTCACCTCACAAACAGGGACAGAGACAAGGCAGAGGTGTTTAACACTTTCTTTGCCTCTATCTTCAAAACGGATGATGGACCAAGGAGGTCTCAGTGCCCTCAGCTGGAGGACCATGACTGTGAGAATGATGAACTCCCAGTTGACCTTGAAACTGTGTGGGACCTGCTGCTCCAGCTGGATCTGGGGCCTGATGGGATTCATCCCAGAATCCTCAAAGAGCTGGCTGATGTCATCACAAAACCTCTCTCAATGATTTTTGAGCAGTTTTGGGAATCCAGAGAGCTACCAACTGACTGGAATCTGGCGAACGTTGTCCCAATTTTCAAGAAGGGCAAGAAGGAGGACCCTGGAAACTACAGACCCATCAGTCTCACTTCAGTGCCTGATAAAGTTATGGAGAAGATTATTCAGGGAAGTATTGAAAAACACCTGAAAGACAATGCTGTTCTTGGTCACAGCCAGCATGGCTTCATGAGAGGAAAGTCCTGCTTATCAAACCTCATTTCCTTTTATGACAAGTTAACCCACCTGGTAGATCAAGGGAAGCCAGTTGATGTAATCTTTTGGATTTCAGTAAAGCTTTCGATACTGTCTCTCACAGGATCCTTCTGGACAAAATGCCCAGCACAGGTAGATAAACACATCATGTAGTGGGTGAGCAGTCATCTCACAGGTCAAGCACAGAGGGTAATAGTGAATGGGGGAACATCAGGCTGATGACCTGTTGCTAGGAGGGTTCCACAGGGCTCCATCTTGGGCCCTGTGTTCTTCAACATCTTCATAAATTACTTGGACACAAGACTGAAAGGGATACTAAGCAAGTTTGCAGATGACACAAAACTGGGAGGAGCTGTTAACTCCCTCAAGAGACCCTGCAGTTAGAGGACTGGGCAATCACCAACCATATGAAGTTCAAGAAGGGAAAGTGCCAGATTCTGCACCTGGGATGGGGCAACCCTGGATGCACAGACAGACTGGGGAATGAGATGCTGGAAGACAGCACTGTAAAGGGTCAATGGCAAGCTGAATATGAGTCAGCAGTGCCCTGGCAACCAGGAGGGCCAACCATGTCCTGGGGGGCATCAGGCAAAGCATTGCCAGCTCGTCAAGGGAGGGGATTGTCCCACTCTGCTCTGCACTGGTGCAGCCTCACCTTGCATATTGTGTGCAGTTTTGGGCACTGCAATATAAGAAAGATATTAAGCCATTAGAGTGTCCAAAGGAGAGCAACAAAGATGGTGAAGGGCCTTGAGAGGAAGCCGTATGAGGAGCAACTGAGGTCACTTGGTCTGTTCAGCCTGAAGAAGAGGAGACTGAGGAGAGACCTCATTGCAGTTACAACTTCCTTGGGAGGGGAAGAAGAGGGGCAAGGACTGATCTCTTCTCTGTGGTGACCAGTGACAGAACCCAAGGGAATGGCCTGAAGTTGTGTCAGGGGAGGTTTAGGTTGGATATTAGAAAAAGGTTTTCCACCCAGAAGGTATTTGGGCACTGGAACAGGCTCCCCAGGGAAGTGGTCACAGCATCAAGCCTGAGAGAGTTCAAGAAGCGTTTGGATGATACTCTCAGGCACATGGTGTGACTCTTGAGGATGGTCCTGTGCAGGGCTAAGGGTTGGACTCGATGATTCTTGCAACTCAGCATATTTCTGTGATTCTGTGATACTCTGATAAGAACTCACCACTCAGCCTATGTTTAGAAAATGCAAGGGTATCAGAATTATTTTCTAGGTAAGGTGTTGGGAGCATTACAGATGGTCCTCAGGTACTTTCATTTTTCTTCCCATCTGAGTGTAACTGATAATAGAAGAGAGAAAAATTTAACATTCAAATGCCTTGTTTTCAATTGATAATGTGAGTGGTGCTTGTGATGGCAGTGTATATTGGGCCCTTGTATGCCATATCTCATCAGCTATGGTGCACCTGGAGCATAAACAGCTACAGCTTGCCATGGTCCTCTTGATTAGTCATTGGGCTACATGTGTAAAGCACACTCATCAGGAGCAGTGCAGGAATGGAAGCTGTCTCCCACAGACATCTGTACTCCTCAGAAAGCATAAACTATGAAAAATAAACTACAAGCTCAGCCTTGGGAAAATTTGAATACACCAGAACCAAGACCTCAGTTTTTAAATAAATCTGATTTGCTTTCCTATTAAAAATTTGTCACATTAATTGATAGTGGGGTTTTTTTGCTGAAGCTTTGGTTCATTTAACTTCCTGTTAAGCAAATAGCAATGTTCTTGCAGCATAAAGGAACACTGATTCTTTTTTTCCCCATCAAGCCCCAGTGAGAAGAAATTAGCTTCAGTAAAAGAATTTTGGATGATTTAGGTTGTGTTTTGTACTGTACCGGGGAGACGTCTAAGACATCATGTAATCTTCACGCCTTGTCTGCAGTATTCTCCCTGCTTGAATAAGCCCTTATTGTATATAATAACATTGAAACAAATTGAACAGCTTTTATAATTTTATCCAATTTAAACAAGCAGTCAACTGTTGACACTTCATCAATTTTATTTAAATATTTTCTTGAAAATACACTTGGTGGCTTTGCTTCTGCAACAGTGAGAGAAAATATGGTGTACTTCTTGAAAAGTAAGAATGGTTTCTGACATAATTTCTCTAGAATTTTTCACGTTTTCATTGCTAAATAAATTCTTGAATCGTCTTTTTATGTTATTAATATTCTGCTCCTCCTGCTCCTTTTGGTCTGAAAGATCCACAGAGGGCAACATTATGTGTGGTTTTCAGAGATTTCATAGCTGCTCCTGAGACAGCTGAAGAGATTGTGTCTCCTTAATCTCTGCTATTTCCTGTGTGTTTGCTTTTAATGGGTATGCAATGAAATGTTATTTGTAATGTTACTTAAACATATGTGCAACTAAACAGGGGTGATTATTCTGAGATTTTAGGATGAGAGAGGCCAGGAGAGCTCAGAGTGCTTAGCAAACCATAGACTGAAGCTTAATTAATACCTCTAAAGCACAAGCAAGGTGATCTGAACCAAACACAGCACTCTGGTGCTTTATGACTGAAGAATATCAGAAATATTTCCATCAGTGGCCTTTACGTTGGATTGTTTTGAGAACAGTTCAGCCCAGCAATGAGGAGTGTCTGTA